TATAGAGGGCAATTTTTTAACAGTACACACGCATTACCTCGAGGCTCAAACAGTAACTTGAACGGTTTTGAAAATATAATTTTTACATAACTTCAAGTCATCATACGAAACAATGTTTTTGACATAAATACCTAGGTATGTGTTTCTTACATTCTTACTATTGGTTATTATTGTTATAACTTTTTAATAGTATGTACATACTTTATTTAATGAGACAACACACAATTTTTATTTCATATTCCTGCAGAGCAGAATATTTCTCTGATGATTTCGATGCATGAAAATCAAATTTTACTAGTTATAAGTAATTTGGGGTTGAGATATTAGTGTAGCAACATTTTGTGTGGTTCCCTTGCAGCAGAACCACTCAACTCCGCTTGTCTAAACTTTAATTTCTGTATAAAAAAAAAATAAATACTCCGTGGGAAAAAACGATTTTTCCTCGTAAACCCAGTCGCGAAAAAAACTGTACGAAAGCAGAAAGAATAACAACAACTGTCGACTGTGGTGTCTCTAGTATATTCCATATAGGTCCATATTATAAATGCTCGTGTGAATGAAATTCTATTGGCTATTGCAGATTGGTAAGTATATAATATTATATTGTTACGTTTTTGGGCGGTTTCGCCGAAAAAAAATACATCGTGCATTATATTATATGTGCTTTCAATTTTGAAAAGAAGGCGGATTATACATGTACAAAAATATAATGCTACTACAAGGTTGATATCACGAGTAAAAAAAAACCATCGCGAAATGTGCGTCAGGTGCATAGAAGGTTTAGGTGGTACAAAATCATCCTCTCAATGGATACTGTTTTTTCGCGAAAATTCAATTCTCATATTCTGTGAGAACATTTTTTTTTGCCACCGTTTTTTCTGAATGGACAGGAGGGAAAAAGGTGTTGAATAAAATATATTTTAAACACTTACTTAAAAATTGTTTTCACAGAATGTAACAAGACTACGCGTATCGGTATCATTGTATCAATGCAATAACAATTATAACGAATCTAGATAATATAAATCACTAAAAAATAATATTTCACCTGCGTATAATATAACAAGAAAACATTAAACTTATATAATTGCTGGGATAATATTAATAAATAAATAATGTATATTATAATAAAATATGGTGTAAACATCTTATTAAAAACAATATAAATAAATGTTAGCTTGGAGAAAAACAAAAAAAATGATGAATTATGCAATATATATTTTATATTATCTGTGTAGCTATTATAGATGTTTATTAGTCGGTACTGAGTGAAATAAAAAATAGCAACCTATTTATCGCTACCATAAAAAATTAACAATATTGCATAGTTGCATAAAGTTATAAGATATGTTTTTTAACTGAAATATTTTAGTATTTTTGTATCATTCTGTTCTTCTGAAATATAAAAAAACTAAAGATTTGTTTTAGTAATCTGCATAAATATATAGGTTATCGAATACAGTTATTTTCATTTTTATCATACACTTATGGAATGTTTTGCTTGGTGATAGACAATAGATCCATTGATCAATAATAATAGTAATTTTACATTTCATAATAATTCATAAACTATGTTTATTTGATGTCGTAGTTGATCCTAAAAGAAATTGCTATCGCTTTTCTGCAAATGGAAATTCTTATCATTTCAATAATTCAAAATGTAACTTGTAGTTGTGCCATATAATCAATACTGTACGATTCCAATTTATTATTGTTTTGTTATTTTAATTAATTGGCAAACGTAAACGTGTTTATTCAACTTTCCACAAAACAATTGGACGCATAAGTCAAATATTTTATTCACGACTTCCATCCTCGACCAACCAGATGTTGTTTTTCATCAGAACGTTCCCGGACATAAAACTATTGATCTTGAAGAATTCGAAATGAATATTTTATTTTGTTTTTTTATTGAAATATTGTCATTGTAAATGCAAAAACAAATGTTAACGCCAGTGGACACGTGAATTATTTGAGAACGTTCCTACCATAGAAGTACGCAAAATTACAAATGTAATATGATTCCTTAAACGAATTTTCCACCACTTTGTTTAGATCTCGCCTGACAAATATTGAAGAGTTACGGGAAACAATAATTCTTATTTGAAACTAGACTCTACATTTTAATTTTAAGTTAATTTCCTTTAACCCTCCACTTCAGTACCAAGTGCAACTAATATTCGAGAAAGGTTATTGCCAACGTGTTTGAAATACCAGAGAAAATTAATTTATTATTAGCAATCTAATACTTGTAAGTTTTTTTTCTTAAATTTTCCAAATGTGTAAGTATTATTGAAAATGACGCCGAAGTGTACACTTTTAAATAATTAATAAACTAATAAGTAATAATATACTGTTCAGTGTTCAGTATTCTTTTAGAAAAAAACTATTTGGACAGGGATTACCAGTGCGGCAGTGCTTGAATCTTTTTACAAAATAAAACTTATATTAATTAATTACACTAGCCGTTAGGTATATTTCATGAAAATACTTCAATAAGATTTGAGAAACTCTGTATTTGTCCTTTTAAATGTGGTAAAAATGCCTGATAACTTCATCAAATATTTTTTTTTAAGTGAATAAATCTGATAGGTACTGAATCTTGTAATGCATCTTGAGATTTGAGAATGTACATTGTATAAGATATTATAATATCCGTCTGAAATTGTTTTTATAATTTATAATAATAGTTGAATAGTATTTAATATTTATATAAAACCAAATCAATGTCAACAACATATTATAATAATAAATAAATAAAATTGGTAAATAAGGATGTTTAAGATCCGTGTTGTACTTTAGTCGTTAGTACAAGCATTGATTTTATAATATAGTATATTATAAAATCAATGGTACAAGCTATTAATAATTTGGTTTTCACGATTTATTATTTTAAAATCTAATATTATAAAGATTCTCCGATTTAAATACGGGTATGAATAATTTGTAAATCCGCTAAAATCAAGTATTTTCAGCCGGTAAATGTATAATATACCGGTTGCTCATTTCAGCAGGAAGAGTATTTTTATGCATGTTTAATATCACACGAATTAATAATTAATTAAATATTTTAAATACAATAAATAATTAATAAACAATAATAACATATAATATGTTCCATATAATAAACTTGTATTTTTGCCGTGTAAATATATGTGTATTTTATTTACTTGGTTTACAGTGTTAATGTCGCACATAGCAATTATTGTTTTAATTCAAACGGGTGTGCTATTATTATATATTATTGTAAATTACCAAAGGTTTAAGCGTACAAGTCTGATAATAATTATTGATAATGTGTATACCTATAGTACCTAAATAATAATAATATAATCGAGAGACGTAACGCGACAACGCATCGAACCTGTGCTGTAAGGCGAACCGATAAGTCGTTATTTTTAAAAACCGTATACCTAATACTGTTGCGGCGGCATTGACGACAATGTTGATAATATAATATTATAAATTATTATAATACAATGCGGTCACGGAGGCTCGCAACGGTTTTTGACTTTCGAAATTTTCTATTCGAACGCGCGTAAAATAAAACAGTATTAATTCGATGGCTGCTGCGGTGGGTGGGTCGTCGTCGAAAAATGCATGTGGTTTGATGAATATTATTGTAACGAAATGATAAATAACGTACGATATTACCATCGTTATTAATATTTAGAACTATTTTCACCGGAAAATTACAAAACCATGTGCCAAATGCCAATATACCTGTGGCGGGGCGAGAGGGGCGATAAGAATAAACACGGTGGTGGCGGCGGCGGCGGTATTGATTTTTGTTTTTTTCGTTAACAATTTCGTCGTAGGTATCACACCCCCCGCCACCTCCCTCACGCGGCAGAAAACCCATGATTTCGTCGGAAATCGCTTTAATTCAACGAAATCATTAAATCATTAATAATCACAGGTATTCACAATAGTAACGATACTGATTTTAATAATAATAACAACGCGTTATTTAACGTCCCGATTTATATTTTCTTCGTTTCGAGGGGGAAAAAAATCACGTGGTCGACCGGCCGGTCTTTCGGCGGCTGTACGCCTGTACCGGTGCGTGAGAAAGACGGGTGTCGAGGAGGGTCCCCCCGGTCTCGCGTTCCTCGACAGAGAACCATGGGTTGGCGGCGGGTGGGGAGGTGGAGTTCGAACGCGGCGGAGGTTGCTCGGGTGTCGTGGGGAAGAGGGGTCGGGTACTGGCGGGGCGGCGAGGAGAGCAAAGACGCCGGCCGGCCGCCGCCGCATGACATCCCTACCCCGCGGCCGACGCGTAGCCACCCCACCACGCGCGCGCGCGCACCGCACCACGGGAAAAAAAAGCGGCCGGCGGCGCGCGCGAACCCGGCAAGCAAACGCGCACAGCCACCCCGTCTCAAACGGCAGTCGTTAGAAAATCGTTCGTTCAGTCAGTCCATCGAGTTCACACGCACGCTCACCACGCGCACTCGTAGTCGACGCCGTCGTCGTACACTCACCGTACACACAAACACGCGCGCCGAAAATCACTACTTTTAACTATATTATTAAAATATATAAATAAATATTTTTTACACGTACGGTAAAATCTCGCGTCTCGTCGACTCCACACATTTGCGAACCACACAGACACGGACAACGGACCACAGACCGGCGAGCGTGTACTCCGGCTGCCACTGCCGCCCGACTATAAAAATTCGAACGTAAATTCCTTTTTTATTTGTATGACTATATTACAGTATACGACTATACGAGCGAATATTTGTATTTTTTTTTGATTTTTGAAAAATTATCTTTTCCGCCGCAACGCACATGTAATTCGCGCGGGTCACGCCACGAGTATACGAATTTAACGTAAATTACATTATTAATAATATACCTACCGATTTTCGCCGACCGGATTATCAAAGGAAAAAAAACGCTTTTATCAAGTTAACGTAGAAATTTATTTTTCTAAAAACCACACTTTTTTCTCAAAAACCGTCGTTTCGTCGAAAACCGTCGCAGCAACAAAGATGCCGGCCACATTATTTTCTGAACTGGAATTCTCGACCAACCAACACAACAACAAGGTCATCGAAGACACCCGCGCCCTGCAAGTGGCCCTGGAACTCAGCATGTTGTACATGAACGGCGAACAGCGACAACAGAAGGTGGACAACAACACTCTGTCCGGCGGCCAGAACATGGACCAATCCTCGATGGCACCCAATTACATTCCCCACGGATTCCCGGAAGAACCGAGGAACAAGAAGAGCCAGAACATGACCGAATGCGTACCGGTGCCCAGTTCCGAACACGTGGCCGAGATCGTTGGCAGACAAGGTAATATAACATTATTATTACATATTATTATTATACTATACCATACCATACCTATATACGTATAAGACTCATTTATTATTACTATTGTTTCTGGTTGTTTTGTCTTGCACACTCGTGTATGTAAGCATATTATAATAGTATTATACCACATAATTAATATACTTATTAATTTACTTTATTTTTAATATATTATTCAACAATTCATGCATACGCGCACGCACACACGTGGGTTTATTTTCGGAACCGGTGGGGATTCCGGTGATCGGGGCTTATCATACACATTCGTGTACATTAGATTCACGTCGCCGGGTATTTCAGTTTCATTTATAGCCCGACTACCTGTTGGCTCAACAATAATATACATCGGTTATTCGGTATTCCAGATAACAGCACGAGATTACCGTCCGTCGACTACGAAATAACAATGATAGATCTGTGGTGTGTTAAACTGTTAAATCGTCGATTTAATTCGTTTGTGGGTCTGCTGACTGTCTTGAATTATTATATTTTATTAATTTCATAATCACATTATTACATTCGCCGTATACGGTCATTGGTTTTCGTCTTTTCCGATTTTCACTACCGTCGACGAGATTTGCGCGCGCAAATTCCGTGCGGGCGGCGCGAGCAATCCGATCCACCGGCGGCAGCCCCTATGCACACGACACTCGCGGTGGTATCCTGTACCGCGGTATACCACACCATGCACGTAATAACAATAATAACTACGACCACGACGACGAGTTGAAACCGGTCGTCAAGTTTCATTAAACAAAAGCGTCTGGTGGCGGTGGCGGTGCAGCACCTCTCGTCGTCGGTTATGTGTTTGTGAGTGTGTGTGTGTTCGCGTTCCACACGGCGAGACAGCTGGCAGGAAACGGTCGGGGCGCCTCCTGTTCTGCTGCCGGGTAAAGACCTCGTGGTCTACACACACTCTCTCTCTCACAATTACGACACAAACAATATCGGATCGGTCGTGCCGGGTTTGCTTGCGTGTGTGCGAGCGAGAGAGCGCGCGCGCGTGTGTGTGTGTGTCAGATGGCGTTCGAGTTTTTTTTCATTTCGTTTATAACCTCGGACGACGGCGACGACGGTTAGACTTCGGCTCTCGCACAACCTTGAAACCGGCGGAGAGAAACTGAGAAAGAAAGAAAGAAAGAAAACAAATATGACAAACCGTCTCGTTTTAACGCGATAATAAAAACTATTTTTCGTGATTTATCGTCTCCCGCCGCCGCCGCCGCTGCGAGTTTTCAACCCCGACAACCTTAGACACATCCCCTCACCCTCCCTTCGAGCGCGTATCAATCAGTTGTCGACGACGACTACGATGACGCCGACGCTAATTAGGGGGCCCCCTCAGGACCATTGACCCAATGCGCCGGTGGTTACCAAGGCCACGGTCTTCGGCCAAAACATTCGCCTTGCACACAACAGTGTGTGTGCACATATTATAGCTCGCCTATATCATAACATGGTCTGTGTGTCGACGCGTGGGTGCGTGCGTGCGTGAAAAAACAACAGTCTAATAAAACACGGACAATGTGTTCCCGCCAAACGGACAACAACAATATCACATCGGTCGTCCCAAGGTTGTCGTATAATAATATTTAACGTACATCGGTCGTCGTCGTCGTGTAAACCACGTGGTCGTGGTGGCACGGCGATTTATTTTATATATATATGTGTGTATAATAATATAATATTATATTTATTAAGTGCTTGTGTGTGTGTTGGTTATGCCGGAGCAGCGGCATGGAGGGAGGGACTAGTGGGGTAGTGGTGTCGGTGTATCCTCCTCCCGACGACGATGACAATAAATCGATTTTTATAATATTATTTTCCCGTGTCGGGCAATGTCGGTCGCATCGCGTCGTTTATTCTTCGGAGTCAGGTGGTCGTGAAACGAGATGAAAAAAAAATTAGACCGTTTCCCCGACGGGTATATTGAATGCCAGCTGCCCACCGTGGGGTTGGACCACATTCGCTGGGGATCACAATGCTTTTTTTTTTGTGTGTACCTGTTCCTCCTTCTCTTCGTCTACCTGTTCAAACCGTGCGACCCGATCTGTGTATGTGTTTGAACTGCGAACCTCTGCTACGGCTCTACGTATAATATATTATAACCTTCGCCGTGTATACCGCCGGCGAGAGTGAAGACTCGTATTTTCTACCCGAATATACCATGTACCTCTCTACAACAATACATTTTTTTCCCCATTTAAAGGAATTCCTTAATATAATAATAAATAATAAAAGAAACACAATCCAACGAATCTTTATTTTTCGTCAGAATACCAGATACTGGTTTTTTTTTCTCAAAAACGTATAAAAAGTGGGTGGGAACCGCTGCTCATACAGAAAATCGTCGTCCTCCGTGTTCAGCGATAGATTTATAATACCATTAATACCTATTGCCGTAATAATAGACGCAGTGGCTGTGCCGATTTCGACGAAAGTCTTGCGAACATTTTTGGCACCTCGGTGAATTATTTTACGACGATCGTGCGTTTTGAGATTGTTAGAAAAAAAACGGCACGTGTATAATGTGGTAGTATAAGGGGTCGTGCACCCCACCACTGGCAGCGGTTCCGTGTCCGCCGCCGCGTGTGCACAAGACGAAATCGATATTGCAGTCTGGGCCGACCGTGTGCCACCTCCACCCCTCCCCCAACTACCCCTCGCACTATAGTCCACGCATATCTACCCCGTAAATATTATGCTGCTAGGGTGTGTCAACCCTTTGCGGTGAGGGTAAAACAAAACGCGCCGATAAAAACAACACCGATAGGTACACCTGTGTCCGTGTGTGTGTATCGACCTTTAAAAACTAAATAAAATCGTCCAAATGTCTAATGAGTGGTAAGAACGAGCAATTCTTACTGAAGTTTACGACCGGATTTGCGGCCGCGTGGTATCGTAAAAATGATCTTTTTTTGTGGAAATGTCTCAATATTATTATTATTTGTCTTGAATACTCTGGGATGAATTTTTTTCTTTCGCTATTGGTTATTGTTCATAATTTTATATCGTATTTTGTTTATACGAAGACGTGGTCGTAGTGTTTTGCTTTTACTCTCCAACGCCCGGCGGCCACCGTCGTCCTATAATATAATCCCGAAACACCCTCTTCCATCCCTCTCCGCTGCGAAGACGTCGGGCGAGCCGAGTGGAAGATTATACTTCTCTGGAAACTCCGCAGCCGCCGCTTTCCCCTCTTTGCACAGCGCACACACACTTCCCCATGACAACGGATGTTGTTGCCTTGGATACTGCCGCCGCCGTCGCGCCCCTCGGCGGCGGCGGCAGCGGTCGTTTGCCTGCGAAATCGTAGCTCACGTGTGCGTGCGTTTCGCGCGGCGGCGACGCGCAGGGATCCGGACGCCACCCCCCCCCTTTTTTGCCGCCGCTTCCACCCCCTCGCCGTCGGCGAATTGATTTGTGTAGGCCGTTCAACCCGACGCGCAGACACCTACCCTCCGCTTTCTCGGCCCCGCCGCCGCCGCTCGAGTGCTATGTGTGCGGCCTACCCTCATCCCCTCTACATATAATTTCATATACCCGCCCTTGAAAGTCGGCAAGAGGGCAAACTTTTCGGTACCCGAAAAAATAAATTCCTTTTCCGCCCCACCGCTCTGCAGCGAGTCCTATTTTTTCACCATCGACTTGGGTTTCGTCGTGTTTATATTTTTCTATCGATCACACCACTGCTGGTACCTCTGGTGGTTAACACGCCTGAAAAATGGACTCGCACGATTTTTGTCCGATGTTTTCATTTCCGGTGACCGAATAAGAAAACGAGTGTTTGATTATTATGCGCAATATCGGATCCCCTTCAACTCAGTACCCCGTCGTAAAACAAACGCCTCGATGAATATCGGTTGAGTCTCGACAGAATATTATATTACACGTTTTTATTATATTATATCTTGTACATATTACACAACACGACAAATCGGGTTCTTTTTCTCGAATTTCATATCCAATATAAAGCGATCGGGCGGGTGGGTAGGTGGTTGGGTGAATGGAGGCGGCAGTAGTTAGTAGTAGTTGGGTAACACACACACACACAATGCGACTATATGGTGTCGGCGGCGGTTCAAATAATTATATATTATTACGTTTTTTTTATTATTATTAAATAATGCGTGCACCAGCCGTCGTTTGGCGAGGTTGGAGACAAAGCGCCGCGCCGGTTGAACTGCCTCTATCAAGGTGAGCGGCGTCTGCTTACCACGGGTTTCCGATAGACTGTTAAACGGCCCCTCCCTCGCCTCTTCTGTCTCTGACACGATCACACGCGCGCCGCCCGCCCGCCGTCGGTCGTAACTCGTAATACTGCACCTCATTAATTTATTTTGAAACTACGAGGACGAGTACGGAATCGATATGACGCGCGGCTCTCGTGGGGACGAGAGTGTGGGGTGGGGGATGGAAAAAAATCAACGAAATACGTGTGTTACACTTGCGACGCAGATGCAGGGATGAATTTTAATCGAGGTTTTCTTCTTCTTGTCCAGGTTGCAAAATTAAGGCTCTCCGCGCCAAGACCAATACTTACATTAAGACTCCGGTGCGTGGCGAAGAACCCGTATTTGTAGTGACAGGACGCAAGGAAGACGTGACCAAGGCAAAGAAAGAGATACTGTCGGCGGCCGAACATTTTTCGCAGATCAGAGCTTCTCGCAAGAACATGGCTGGAACTCTGTCGCCGCCAGGACCTCCTAGCGTTCCCGGACACGTTACGATCCAGGTATGTTTAAAATTTGCATGTTATCTGTGTATAACAGTGAAAGAGAGTAGACACTAATGGCTATTGTTTTTTTTCCCGAATGTGCAGGTTAGAGTACCATACAGGGTTGTCGGTCTTGTTGTTGGTCCTAAAGGTGCGACCATTAAACGCATTCAACATCAAACTGGCACATACATTGTAACTCCTTCGCGTGACAAGGAACCCGTATTCGATGTTACCGGCCTGCCAGACAGCGTGGAAACTGCCAAACGTGAAATTGAAGCACATATAGCTCTACGCACTGGCAATGGCATGACTGATGAAGAGAATGGTGTCGCCCTAGCTGCCCTCTGCAAAGCCAACCCATTGGCCGGTCTTTTTGATCTTACAGACTCCATGGGTCCAGCTATATTATCCGGCAGTTCAGGATGCAGCTCTGGTTCAGTAAGCTCATGCGGTTCTGGTGTATCAGCACTTGGTGACTTGGGAAACATATGGTCAGATGAAGGAATTGGCGGAGAATCACCGTCGTTTGAGAATGTTGGCCTCTGGGGATTCATGGGATCGTCCAGACCATCTCCTGCAAGTTCAACATCTCCACCGCCTGCTAAGAAGACTTGTTTAGTTTGTCACATGAGAGATATTGATGCTGCTCTTATTCCATGTGGTCACAACTTATTCTGCCTGGATTGCGCATCAAGCGCTTGCGATTCAAACGGACTATCTCACTGTCCGGTATGTAAGATACCTGCGCGTCAAGCTATTCGCATCATCTCTTAAGCCAAGGACAAACATAAAAGTACCATAATAAATCCCTTTTATTTAGTACCTAAATGATTCCTAAAAACTGATCCAAAACATTTAGTATTAAACTTAGATTATAGTAAACACGACATTTATATCGCTCTATTTAGTGGAACGAAAAAAAAGGGATTCAATCGAAGGCTGATTGATTTAATTGACGAACATAACAAAACGAGTCATTTTTTTTAATTATTATTATTAAATTATTATTCTTTTTAAAGAATTTTTATTATTATCCATTTGGTTATTGTGTATTTTGTTGATAAAATATGTTATTTGTTTAATTTTTTTTTCTCAAAAATTGACCGACGATCTCTATGAGAAGTCGTGACTAGAATGTTCTCGTCAGAAAACATGACATTTAATATAAATGATATTGCCAGTGTTAGTGATTAATAATTTATTATCAACAAATTTTTCTCTTTGAGTTTTTTTTTTTTTTGTAGGTGTTAGATTCTTAACACAATTACTGTGAACAAATGTTAAAAGTTTGTTTCAGTTTTCCTCACGACTGTGTAAGATTTTAATAATGTATACTGACATATCCCTTGTTAAGTTTTTTTACAAAAACCATTTAAAGAAATAAACAGCACCTACCTCCAACATCCTTGGACCTTGGTGCTAAATAATATAATAATTTTTTTTCTTCACAGTTTACACAAAGTTTTTACAAATATATGTAACATAAATTTTATTATATATAAAAGGTATATAATATATATTATTCAAAGCTTAATTTACATCCATATAAGCCATGGTCATTTTTAATATTATTTTCATTCATTTTCTTTTTTTTTTACACAATTAAATAATTGAAAAATTTCTATATAATATATAAATATATATTTTATAAATTATTTAAAAAAATTGTTCCATTCCGAAGCGGCACATTTTAATAGTATAGGTGTGGTGATCGGGCTGTGATTTAAACTGCCAATTTTCCCTTATACCTCGACACCCCACCATCTCAAACACCTTATTTACATTTAGACATTTTTTACTAGCTAATTAAAGCTCAATTTAACTAAAATACAATCATATGGTAGAGTAGAATAAAATTAATAAAATAGGTTATATATTAGTGCCAACACCGCTCGTCAGACAAAGACTGGATGAAAATTAGGAAAATAAAAGTGACTTCATTTAATAATAATTAATGTAAAAGCTTAACATGAGTGTGTGCTTGGTGCGTCAAAGGCAATGCAAAAATATAGACCTAAATTTTATATCTACTTGTGTAATATAATTTATAATTTTTATATATTAAACTAAAATGACAAATATTTTATTATTGTAAGTCCTAATATTGCCAAATTTAAGAACCTTTAACATTAAAATGTGCCATTTCGTGTTAAAATAATAAAAATAAGAAGAAAAAAATGATATTTTTTCCAATAAAATTGTTTACATTTTGATATGTAGCATCATTAAAATAATATTAAATATATTTATATATAAATATAATTAAATAAATCTTAATTTAATGTCTAAATACTTATTCTTATATATATTATATATTAAAATAATGTTGTGTAGTAATTTTGGTTTTTAGAGTGAATGAGAAAATGTTATATCGTAACTATTTAAATACTCTTAAGAAAACATTTATTTAAAAAAAACAAAAAAAAAGTTTTCGTTTTCTAGAGATATTATACTTAAACAAATTGTATATTTTTGTTATTTATTAAATATCCCCGCCCATAACCCCTCCCGTAATCATTATCGCCCTATCCCATCTCCACTGCATTGTTAAGTATGTAGTTAGACTACTTAGTTAACTTTTTCTTTTTATTATTTTTATACTTTTTTATTTCATATATTTATCTGAAAAAAACTAAATAGTTATTTACATTTTAATTATTACATATTTTTATTATTTAGTTGTGATGTGTTATTTTTTAATAGTATTTGATGTTAATACTGATACTTAAAAAATATACCGAACTAGTATTATTTATTAGGCTATTTTGTTTACTTTTTGATATAAACATTGTTCTGGTTTATTTCTTAGTGCACATTTTTTTTATTCATACTTTTTTATTTATATAAAATAAAAAAAACCTTATTGCTTTTTATATTTTGTGTTCTGTTTTTTTTTTCCATTTTTTGGTTGTATATAATAATGATGTATTGTGTTTAATAATCTAGATACTGTGTTAGGCCCAAAGAATATTTTTCTGCATTTTCAAAACATACAAAAATTGGCTTGAGTCTTCATAAATTGCATTTAATACTTTTATTTCTAAAAAAAAATTAAAAAATTAATTAAAAAAAATTAAGAATTATTTATTTAAAAATAATTTTATACGTTTGAGAACTGTTTATAAATTTAAAAAACAGACCAGATTGATAATCATAAACATAATTCAATTTATATATGCATATATAAAAATTTAAATAATTATATATATAATAAATTTTATACATATATTTATACTCGGCTTTAATTGTTTTTTAAACTTTTTTTTTGTGAGAATTTCATAAATTTCTTGTTATTAGCAAAATTTAGCATAAATATATTATAACTAATAATATAGACATATTATAATATAAATTAAAATACAGTAATAGGGTGCAATCAGAGTGTGATTGTTGCCCATTACTGGTTAAGGTAATTTCTACTAAAAAGTTGCGTTAAGAATTAATATTTTAGACTAATCGAAATATATGGTTGTCAAGCTTATATCATATTAGAGACGGGATTGATGAGGAATTGTTTTTTTTTTTTGAGTATGTTAAGATGCAGTTTTCATTATTTTATTTCGGCCTAAATCCAAATCAGTATTATAAAATGGTGTCTTAATTGTACACATGACTTGTTTTTTTAATTTAACAGTAAAATATGTATCTTGTAATAATTATATTGTCTGAAGAATAACTAGATAGTTTATTATAATGTAATAATATTATATTATATCCCCTGTTTTTTTTTCGATCTCAATATTTTTACTTTGCATTATTATACTTGCAAACAACAAGGACTGATTATAAAGCAATAATGAAAGTATAATAATATAAATAAAGTAAATATTTATTTTTATTTTTATTATTATAATTTAAATGATACGAAGTAATTAAAAAATAATAATAATCAAACATCCAAAGTATATTATTACGATCCCCGTATTGTTCGAAGTGTAATTTATGTATTGAAAACTGCTCATCATCCTTATAATTAAATGAAAGTAAGTTGTATTTAGCGTTTAAAAATTATATAATTATGTTTTTGTGTTTCTATTTATAATATTATATTATATTATAAAAAAAAGTAACGAAGATGATTTGTAACTTGTATTATTATAAAAAATCCTAAATAATTGTTTTTCAGTATAAAAAATATATTATAATATATATATAAAAAAAAAGAAAATGTCTATTTATTTTTAGAAATATATTCCTCTTTCCTTTACGGCTATCATACCATTATAAAATGTATGTCGATTTGATAGTATACTAGTATAGTACTTGAAATCTTGAAAATCTTTTCATCAAAGCTCAAAAGTATCTAGAAAAATAATATTTTGCAGTGGTTGTTATATATTATAATCAATAATCCAGCGCTGGTCTTCATAGTCGGCATATTTGATAGAGAGATTTCCACCGCATTGAATTCTTTTGCGAATTGTTAAGTATCAATGAAGATCTGTAAGATTTTTAGACTCCGGTTGTAGTCAAACAATTGTACAAGTTGATCGTTAACAATTTTAATTCATAAAACTACCATATAATTCTAATAAATTGGTAGTTTTGAGTGGTTTTCAGCTTACGAAAAAAAATTATGATTGATTTATGTGTAGGTACAGGCAGCATTTGTTATATCAATATTATAACAATTTTATTATTATTGACAACAGAGTATAACATTATTCCGATTTCGACATTTGTGCACTCAAAACTAGGTAAGTGTAATTTTAAGTTTTCTCCGTCACCACCGGTGACTGATTGCCGGAATAACGACACCAGGAAATCGTTTATGGCTGTTTTATAATTCTCAGTAAATTGATTGTCAGCAGTTGTAACTTATATTGAATAATCGTCGTGGGGCGGCGTTCGACATCGTGGCGTCGTGTGTTCGTCTTTTGTATATATTCAATATAGAAGGTAATTATATAAAAAAAACACCGAAATTCCTGATCCTGAAGGATCTATGGCAGTTCAATATCGAAACTACCTGCTTTGCCTTTTGGGACAATTTCTATTTACTGCTGTGTCGGGTAAAAGAATAGTATTTGCAACAAAAAACTTCCGGTCCAGAATTTTTTTTATTTTTTGGTCTGATTCCTATACCTACTTTCCGTTTTATTGTAATTTATTATATACCCACAGTTCTACTTTCGTTACAATCACCCCCCTTGGGTGATGTTCTGTTTTTTGTTTTCTTCACATTTCGACGAGTTACTGTGAAAAATGAACGTTTCCACTAAAACGTAGTTTACCTACCTTCCGCACTCGTACAAATAAAATGTGTACATAATAGGTGTATCACGCTATTCACGGTCATAAATTATAAAAAAACCTTGCCATTACGCATATACTTAGTACCTACCATGATTACACCATACTGCGGTCTGCGGTATAGTATTTCTGTGTAACGGTTACAACTATATAGGCACCTATCTACGCAGTGTTAGATCTAAACCCGTAGGTAATATAATGCGCCATATTATAATATATTATTAACTCTTTACATTTTGAACCGAGCAATTAACTAATGCGTTTTAATCGTCCCGTACTACCTGGGTGCAGATGGTCACGACACAAAATTAATTTAGCCACGTTATCGGTATGTTTACACTATCGGTTTTTTATTTAATTTATTAAAAATCGAAACTTATCGTATTATTTTTAATTTTCCCGAAATTCCCGTATAGGCGTTTATATCAAATTATATTAATATGTATTTATTTTACTATACGCGTTTTGCTATTGTTTATTCGATGTATTATGTATTATGTGCGTCGAGTGTCGACGAAACAAAATACTGAGTGAAATATCACGTTCGTGAAGTTGGTCCGCCTAACAACCTAAGTAGGTATTTAAATTTCTTTTAAATCTATTCCATTATTTTGCAAGTTGTTTGCAAGTATTTACAAGTCTATTTTTAGAATTTGCTAGTTCAAACTTTCACCGTGGATCCAAAAAATGTTAAGATGGGCCAACTTCACGTAGCCCACCCATTTTGACCGAGAACTTCGAAATCTGTATCAAACGGAAACTAATGACTAGCAAGTATTTGTATTTGAAAGCCCCTTTTTGAAATTTGCAAGTCCATCAGGTGGCCGCTATAAACTTTTGAACTTGTAAAATTTGAACAAAATAATGGAATAGATTTAAAAGAAATTGAAGTACTTAGGTGGGTGGTGGGCCAACTTCACGAACGTCGAAATATTCATAGGTAATACATAATTTATTTTATGTTGGTGGCTAGGCGTCGTGGTAGACCAGTAGTAGATCACTATATTAGAAATGTTTGTCAACCGACATTTAATTCGAAAAACAAATGGTACGTATATAATAGTACCTATTTAATTTTAAAACAAAAGTGGTTTGTGAAAATATCAATGAAAATACCCGATTTTATTTTAAACGTTATTATTTTTTAATGTATAATATAATAAATAACAATACCTATACTATTATCGTAAGTCGTAGCTGTTGCCCGATTGTGATTATTCGTTATTTCGATCTTTCGAAAATAGTATAAAATATTTACTTATATAAACGTGGTGTCTGTTGACAAATTATAGAACTCGCGAGTGTCGGTGTTATGACGAGGGGCGTCAATCTCGATGGTATAACATGGCTAACGGGTGCGTGGTAAATGGTAATTACACGGCGCAATGAGACGTGTCTCCTCGTGCTCTCCGACCGTTATACTGTATATAGGTACCTATCGTCGTCCGGTCGTCTTCACTCGTGTCTTTGTCGACCGCTATTGTACAATGTAAAGGTACTTCAGTATTTGTGTATAATTTATAGTTGTCTTTATGTCGTCATATATTCACATCTGTTTCACATATAATATACCGTCGAGAAGTTCAACCGTAGTTTTAAAAAAATTGGATAACAATAAACTTATTATGATAAGTCGCACCACTATACAAGTATCGACTGCAGTAATTTCTATAACAGGTACCAACGATTATATAGGTACATATTTATTTTCAAGTTTTTTTTTTGAAGGAAACGTTAAATTGTCGATCGTAATATTATAGAACTGGAGTACCTGCATAACATATTACTTTATAAAATATATTACAAACTATAATATAATATATATTATCTATATCGTAAATATTGAATAAGGGGGTTGTAACTTAGTTTTACGAATTCGTTTTCCCCCGACTACTGCAACACATATATTCATCAACAACGCAGTAATATATATATATATATACTGGGTGATTCTTTTATCAAACAACACTTATTATTTCAAAAAGTGTAAATTTTTTTGAAGATATTTTTTTACATAGTTTCAAGTCGCTTATAAAACAACGTTTTTATTAAAAAATTATATTTTTAAATATTTTTTATCCTTATAATTTTTTAAGTTTTTTACATTTTTGAATAACAACATAGGGTTTTAATTTTATATTCCAAAGCAGAATATTTTTCTTAGTATTTTGATACATGAAAATCGAATTTGGGTTGAGTAGTTTATGAGTTATAAGTATTTTAAGTTTAGACGAGCAGAGTGGAGTAGTTCGGGGTTACCCCGCGAAATGTTTGTCCACTTCACCGCTCGTCTAAACTTTAAATACTTATAACTCATAAACTACTCGCCCCAAATTCAATTTTCATGTATCAAAATACTAATAAAAATATTCTACTTTAGAATATAAAATTAAAACCCTATGTTGTCATTCAAAAAAGTAAAAAACTTAAAAAATTATAAGGATAAAAAATAATTAAAAATATAGTTTTTTAATAAAAACGTTGTTTTATAAGCGACTTGAAACTATGTAAAAAAATATCTTCAAAAAAATTTACACTTTTTGAAGTAATGAGTGTTGTTTGATAAAAGAATCACCCAGTATATATATATATATATTATATATACGTATTACGTGTATATTGTATATAATATATATGCGTGTCGTCATAATACCTACCTACTTACTCGTTAAATAATATGTATTAATTCAGACCGGGCGCCTATATTACATTATATACTTTTTAATCAAACGCCTATTATAATATTATGTATTATACTTTGTGGTATATAATTCATATTTTTTGAACATCGCGTAATCGGTATACATGCATGTGCGTATTGTATTATAATAATATGCGTTGCTCGCCACCCTTTCAAAAATATATGTAATTTACATTTTACATGCGTAAATGCGTTTGCACGACATTGCTCGGGATTGGCATGATGTTCGTTTACCCGAAGTAGGTACCTATACACAACAAACGAAAAAAAAAAAATATAATACATAACAATAATAACAACAATGTCGCGGGGAAACGTTACACTGAAAAAAAAACCTTGGTAACATTGATAAAAATATAGATTTGATCAACAAAATATTTGTCACTATTCAGCTAACAAACAGATTTGTCCAACTAACAACATTCAATTGTCAATTCATGATCATCTTGAAAAATGACAAAAATTTTATCGTTTTGATTAAATTTACATTATTAATTTGATCACATAAAATTGTCATGGCTAACACTATTTTAACAAAATATCTGATCAATACAATAAAATATTTTATTAATAGGAAACATTATTTGATAATCAAATCATAAGAAATTTATTGTCAAGATTAATAATTTTATCATTTCAATCAAATATATTTGTTACTGATAAAAATATAATCTGTTCATATCCAACAAATAGGTTTATCATTTCAATAAAATTTTCTGATCATATAATAGCTGAAATTATTATTGCTACATCAAAAAGTGGTATGCAAATTTCAAATAATTTATTACTTAAATATAGGTAATGAAAAAAAACTATAGTTCATTTAAATATTTAATAATTTTTGTTTTTATTTAGTATATGTTTTGAAATCTTATTAAACATAAAGAAATATAAATTATATAGGTAAAACAATGTAGGTATAAAAATATATAATAACATAATAAAGTGTATATAAAATATGCAATATAATAAATATAAAAAAAAAATATATATAGAAATATATAGCTAGGTATACAAATGTATTTAGGTACCAAATATATAATAACATACTGAAGTATATATAAAATATGCAATATAATAAATATAAAAAAAAATATATATATAGAAATATATAGCTAGGTATACAAATGTATTTAGGTACCAAATATATAATAACATACTGAAGTGTATATAAAATATGCAATATAATAAATATAAAAAAAAAAAATATATATATATAGAAATATAGAAATATATAGCTAGGTATACAAATGTATATAGGTAGGTACCAAATATATTATTTAGATATAATAATAGAATACCTATAAAGAAATATAAATTATATAGGTAAAAAAATTTAGGTATAAAAATATATAATAACATAATGAAGTGTAGGTATATAAAATATGCAATATAATAAATATAAAAAAAAATATATACATAGAAATATAGAAATATAATATAGGTACCTAGCTAGGTATACAAATGTATATAGGTACCAAATATATTATTTAAATATAATAATAGAATACCTTCGTAATATATTTATCTATTCTGCATGTGTATTATTTTCTAAATCAAAAATTAATTGATTTAAATTGGGGTGTGATTTATCAAATTTAGTTTTAATATTATACAAATATTTTTGTATAAATTGCCATACAGCACATGATTCAATTGGGTACTCTAAATTAAATAAATGTATAATCTTAAAGCACACATCTATTGCCCGTAGTATAGTGAAAACTTTATATTTAATTGTATCAAAATATACAATAATCTCTTTCGGTTGAAGTGGAGTACCAACAACCAAAATAAAGGGCTGAATTGGCAATTTCAGACTATATCGGTTTGCTATGAATTCTTCAGCCAGGGTTACAGTATTACAAAATACCAAAAAAGTATTTTGTGAATCTTTAATAGAAAATTTGACAATATTTTTCTTTCCTTTATCATCCATAGTAACTTTTTTGGAAGTTGGCACAAATAACGAATGGAGTAAATAAAATGTAACCGCTTGTTTAGCATCTGAAAATACACAATGTGATTAGTTAGGTACCTACCAACTAATATTATACAAAATTACAAGAAATAACCTTATAAGGATATTTATAGATATAATTTTAAATTAATAATTATTATGAATTACTTTCACATGGGTTTTCCATCTCAATAAGACTCTCTAATAGTTTACGGGAGTTCATATCTTTAATTTTTGTTGTTAAAACATTAAATATTTTTAATAATTTTACTTCATAATTGCCTAGTACATTGAAAGAAGTTGGGTGAAGAACATTAAAATCAATATCAATCTGAAAAGTAAATTGGGAGTTAGATAATAAATATTTTACATAGCTACATAAATATAGGTATCAGATGCAAGGCAAGAATAGTCCTCACATAGATTTATTAATAATATGACATGTGTTTGGTTGTCATATGCATATTAAGATTTGTATGTATTAAAAAAGTACTTTTTTTTATGCAATATGCACTCATAATGCAATAAATTTTATGTATAGTGGCAATTCACTAACCATGCTCACAAATGGTACAAAAACAAATTCAAGATTATGGTCCTAGTATATTTAAAAATTCCAAAAATCAGAATTTCAATAAATTAATTATTAAATGAAAAAAAATTCTATGTGGGCATGCTTGAAGGAGAATCACCCCATATATTACTTTCATTTTTATTTGTTTTATCAAGTTGTATTATAGTTTTAATCGTACAGATAAAATAGTATACCCTGTCTGGCTTTATATGGTATACTCAGTAACTTTATATACAAATAGGCTATACCTATTTACCTATATAAGTAAAGAGTAATGGTATGTATATAAAGCTCAGACAAAAATTCATAAAAATTGAGTCAGAGATCTTTTAAAATATTCAAAATGTAGTTATAAATTATAATAAGTGCATAAAAACAGCTTATTGTTATTATGAGCATATATGATTTCTGCAGTAAAACAAGATTTAATACAAAAACTATGTATTTGTTAATTTTTAATACATGGTTTTGTTACTTTTGTAGCTTTTTTTGAATCTTTAGAATGTCCAACAAGCACGAGCAATCTATTTGGTTTATGTTATTATTGTATCTATGTAACATGTTTGTTGTTAAGCCTCAACATACGCCTAGGTATATTTTATATTACAGTTATCAACTAAAAGTGTAGGTAGTAATTATGAGGGTACCTATAGCCTACAATAGCATGTAAATCAAGGTTTATAAATTATTATTGTAAAATGATATGTATAATAATAATTATACATGGTATATCAAACTATTCAAATTTGTGGAGATATGCATGTTACTCTAAAACAACTAACAAAATATTTTATTAACCTAATCCATCCATATTATATATTATAAATAGTAAAATTAACTTCTTAGTTATTACCAACTTATATTGCTCTATAATGATTTACTTATGTTTCACAATATTATTTACTTGTAATATTAACCATGGTTAACAAAACTTAATATTCGCATGCAATGTGATAAGCATCCGATTGTTTAATACCTAGTTAACAACTAACTCATGGTTGATATAAATTTAAATTAAAATACAAATTGTACATACTAATTTATAGCCCATTGGTATTTTATAGCTCTTCCATTCTCTTATTATTTCCTGAGTTGTTGTGGCCTTTTGAATGTCATTTAACCTGTGATTTACAGTTGAACTCCAATGCCGCTCAAGTTCTGGAAGACTACAGTTATCATGCTTAATTTGGTTTAAGATTAACTGTATATCTCCTTCAGGTTCTATCATAAATTATTAAAATAATATATTATTCATTATAATAGGTATATATTATTTTTTTAAATATATTTACCATAGTTATTAGTAGTCCATCTACTAAAACTACTATTTTTAGTTTTATTAATTAATTCATTTTTTTCTGAATGTTTTAAGATTAACCCGCTTGTTTTTAGTGTTCTCATAGTATTGTAATATTTACAGTATAACTTTCCTCTTGGCTGTCTTGAATGATCTTTTATGAAATAATTTTCCTATAAAAAAAATATTATTAATTAAATTATTGATTATAAAATATGCATTATTGTGCTTTCATATAATTATCAAACCTTCAATTCAGATGCAAAAAGTTGTTGAATTTGGTTTGCAATATTTTCTGCCAATGCGACGGACATTAATATTTTTTTTGTTATTAATTCTTGGATTATTATTTCAACTAATAAAGTTCTTATATGATTAAACCTATATAAAATATATTATTCAGAATTTAAAAATATAGTTATAATATTTATGTAAGTATTAAAGTATACCTACCTATTATAAGCAAGTGTGTTTTGTGTGTATGTATTATACTCTAAATTAATTAAGTAATAGGTTGATATAATGATATGTATATGTAGATACCTAAATGTTTTAAAAATATTTGGAATAAATAATTTAATTTGAATTCATTAATATTAAATTAATAATAAAAACATAAAATGACTGCATTAAGTGGAATTAAAAGTTTCTAATAATATTAATGTACCTAATACCTATGTTAATATTTAATAAAAATTGTTTTAATTTTATATTTTTATTTATATTTTTGAAAGGTATTTATAAATACCTATTGTTAAAAAAATATTTACATAGGTTGAATCTGGTTAAACTACCTATATAATAATATTGCTGTTAAAATAATTATTGTTTTTGTTATCTATTTTTAAACTTTTATGTCGTTTTTATAATCACCCACCTATAATTTCTTTTTATTATTCAAGAGTAATTGTTATCTATATATAAATAAATCTTAAAATGCTTATAAGTAGGTAGGTATACTTATATAATATGCAGTGACGAGTTATGTAGTTGTGGTTGAAAGATCCCCCTCCAGTGCCAAGGGTTATATACCTATTCTAAACAAAGCGATGAATGTTGTTATAATTATATTTAATTTATTTGTGTATGTATCTAATATCTATATAGTTTTTACTAATACACGATTTAAAGTTTAAACTTCGAAAATTTGCAAATTATTTTGTATAGTTAAAAATGTATAAAATGTTCAATTTGGATAGCTAAGGGCTGAACATTTAGAACAAAGTTTCTCATACAGATATTATACTGTTTCGTCGTTTTTGAGAAATAGTGATGTATATGAGTGGGTGTTTGGGTTTCATATGAATTATAGATTAAAAACATGTGTAGTTAAATAATGTGTTTACAATGTACCATATTATTATACATTATTTTACTGCAGTAATAATATGTGTTAAGTGTATTTAAAATAAAATAGGTTTATGGTACTTCTAGGTGGTGGGAAGGGGATGAAAAAGCTCCATCTGACGTTTATACAAACTCCCCCTCCACTAGAACAAAATCTTAACTTTGTCACAACTGCTTATATGCTAAGTAGGTACTTAATGTAAAAAATCATAACTTACCTTATTTTACTTGCAAGTAAGACGATATAGGTAATAAATATTATTATTACACAATATTATGACAAACGATCGTCAAAATGGTGTTTATTTATAACTTATAACAGTATATTATATCTGAATATCTCGAACACTGTGTTAAGACGCTAAGTCGACAGTTGAACACTTGAACGTCTTGAACTCCAAAAGTGGAATGCGTTACAGAATAATTTTTATCGAATGTTCTCGTCGTATTTTTCATTTGCTTGTTGTTCGTTTTGGTAGAAATTTAGTATAGACCCAATGAGAGCCAACGATAGTTGTGATTTTCCCTTGCTCATGATTTTCAGAGAAGATATTAATATATTATATATATCCCAATTATCTTTTATCTCCAGTCCCCGCAAGCATCTTGGCGAATTCCGTACTAGGCCTAATTTTAAGAAAACATTAAGCGCTCACTTATAGGAGCACGTAACTTCTGCGAAAAATATACGAGCAAAACCGCATAAGTGCATTTATTTTCAATTAATATTTATATACGTAATAAAAAAATTAATACAAACTTACCTCCTTTTATAATTCATTATAAACTACAAATTGACTATAGCCCGATTACAAATATGAATTATAAACGTTCTTATTTAAATGTATCACACCAAATCTTAGGTAGATATCATTACCTATTTTAACCAGCATCCAACACAAAAACACATATATTATATATATATTAATCACTGAATGTTAAATTGTATATAGATAAAAAAATACTATAAACCATGTAATAAGAATACGTAAAAAATATATTCAAATATCAATGTAGAGTATTATATAAATACAATTCTCATAATAGGTATGTATAGCGAACACAGACAAATGTAGATCTTTAATAAGTATAATAACTCATAAAGCTAATAAAGTTTTTGTTGAAATGAAAAAACTAATTTGTTAACTTATAAATATATTTGACAACACGATTTTATCATTCAAGTACATTTCGTTGTTGGAATGACAAAATAATTATTGATTTAAAAAAATGTATATTACAAATGATAAATGCATATTGTTGGGTGAATATAATAAGATTTATCAATATGACAATTGATTGTCAAATTGATAAAATAAACAATTACAGTATATAACAAAATTTTTATTAAACTAACAATTTTTTATCATTATGATACAAATATTGTCAGCGTAATAAATGTTAGATTTGTTGATCATCTACAAAACATGTTTGTCAATGTTACTATTAGAATTTTTTCAGTGTACGCCAGCCGCCCCGCTGCACTTTCCGCCGGTGTACAAAAAATACTGTTTTAATATTACCACCACAATATTATATAAATAATATACAGTTAAACCTCTAAATACCGGACACTCTCGGTCACTGAAATTGTGTTCACTATTCACAGGCGTACCTTAGTACCTATATATAAGCCTATTCAGATGTTTCAGTTTTTAGAAATTTTGAAATTTGAACCCAAAAAAAAGTCCGCTATTTAGTGGTGTCCGTTACTCCGTTAGGGGAGGTTTCACTGTGGGTATTATTTATTATTTATGAGCTCATGACAATAATATTTAATTGGTATTAGATTCTGAGTGAAGTGATAAACGCGTGGGTACCTATATTGATTTTACGCAATTAATTGTGTGTTTTATTTTGTGCGTGTGTTTCTGTGGAGATACTGTTTTTATGGTATAGAATAGATGCTTAGATTTTCAACTTCGATATATTAATATACTGACAATTGGCAATTGGCACTTGGAATACTGCCATATTGGTAGGATAAAGTGAATCTAGTTGGTACTTTGAGGGGATCATAAGTAAAAAAATTCCCAGTACTTATCTTAAATCTTCATAATAATTTCGGGAGAAACAAAAATTGATCAACAACTGGTATTTTAGATAGTTGGATCATTTTTACTTAGATACACAATCATTTAATGGATAATTAAGTGTTTAAGTAGGTAACTCATAGTAAACTTATTTAGAATAATTTATTTAGTTGTACTTAAAGCGACCAATCTTAATGATGGTTGTATTGGCAACGGCCATATATTTTTTTTTACTTATTTTCAAGTTGAAACAATTTTTTTAGTATTTTAAAGTGTTATATTTTTTTAAGTACTTTGATATATTAAAATAAAATTTTGGATGAGTAGTTTAATGTTTATGGGTTTATAACCACGGGCCTGGATTTAAATACCCTAAGAACTATCCAAAAATAGCAAATATTATGTAAAAAGAATCAATTTTAACCGAAATAATGGCCTTGAAAATGACCAAAATTTTTTTTTAATAATTGTCGAGTAAACAAAAATACGAACTTAACGAAATAACGCTATAAATTGAATGTAACATCAACTGACCAATATTGGTATATACTCGTTACTGAGTCCCGGACGCATATATAACAGCCGTTAAACTGTAGATAGAAAAAGACGTTACCGATGTATCAAAATCATAAATAGTACGATGTTTAAATTATGAATGGTCGGAACAAAATGTTTTGATTTAGGTACCAATTAAGTTTAACCTAAAAATGTATAATATCATTTATAAATGTGCACTGAAAATTAACAAAATTACCTAAAATGTATAATAATTAATAATTATTGCTAAAAAAATGCCAAAACTGATCAAAATGCAAAATGAAAGTTTTAAATTATTTGATGTATGAAATGGATTTTCTACTTGAAAATCATTGCCGGGGACTTTCTAAAAAAATAATGCATTTTGCATTGAAATAAGGGCTTATAGTCAATTATTTAAAGTTTAGTTGAGCGGAGTAGATCATATTGGTCATCTACCAAGGTGTTAAAAATAGAAGAGAGGTCCTGAGAAAACGTCAATAATAATATTATATACCAGGTGGATTATTTTGCACCAGCCCGGGAAACATAATATAAAACCAGCTCCCACTGTGCAATTATACAGTAGCACAGTGGTCCAGTCCGCCCCTGCATACCAGACAAAACAGAGTAATCTGAATAAATGCTTTGATTACCTATCAACGATGAACTGCATATATATAATAAATTATCATTAATAAATATTGTTGTTATTGACAAAACTACTAATGTACTTTCTACAATAATAGTTGTCAGTTAGTAGTGGCCAGTGTACAACGCGTGAATGCGTGATGGTAGTGCGTGTCGACTACTTATAGTTTGTTACTTGTTAATTGTTATACCATTGATTATACGTTTATCATAAGTCCTAACAGATAGATGTCAGGTATAGACGCCTGATGGATTATGAATATTATAACGACGGAAGATCGTAATAAAAATATGTTTCATGTGATCCAGGTGCGTAATTAGGGGGGAATTAGGGGGATAGATCCCCCAAACTTCTTTTTTACTGCTAACATTTTGATCAAAGTATTAATGTTTGCTAAAAACATATATCCCCCCCACAAACCAAATTCCTAATTACGCCAGATGGTACCTATTTATTTTTGAATTTTTGGAGAGGGTTATATTATGGGAGTACAAACTATACCTATGACCTATGTATTGGGGAAAACTACCGTTCCTATATTTGGCCATTTTCAAATATCATAAAAAATATGATAACTATGTACAAGAATCTTTTTGACAGTATAAATGACCTGTGTGGCTGTCTTTATTACTTATGTGTTATGTCGTTATGGAGCATTATGTAAGAATCTTGGTAATCAGTAGACCAGAGACCTGTGTCAGAATGGCTGGTTAACAACTGGTGTTTATAAAATTAAATTTGTACCTAATTATTATTACTAAATTTG